GATTACCAAAAGTGTCCGGATTACCGAAAATAATTACATATTTCGCATTGTTTTGCTAGCAATAACTTACAATATTCTCTACTCCAACTGTTTGAACAGAACTGTTCACATAAAACACACAAAATGTGCGTCATCGAGTAAGAATTGGATGGGGAGATTCACATCGCGACATGCTTCTGTGCAAGCAGACACGTAATGGGGACGAGTAAGAATTGGATGGAGAGATTCACATCGCAACATGCTTCTGTGCAAGCAGACACGTAATGGGGACGGGTACCTTGACGGGAGGTGCGTCGGACTACTGAGCATGTCGGATTAAAAAACGTCGGACTATTGAGGGACAACTGTAATAACAAATTAGATTAAGTTTCATATATGTTTTGCTCAAATATTCAAATGCTTCAAATATGATTTGCTCAAATATTCAAATAAAATGTTTGATCAAAATTTAAAAATGCATACTAAGTTACTAGTATATTTCATTTCTTTGTATTTTTTATACACAACTAATAAAATTAAATAAATAACCAATTAACCATAAGGACTCAATTTTTATCACATCTTATGGCAAAATCAATATTTTCAATATTTAAATGAAATCAGAATGAATTAAGAAGTACAGGGACAGATTTTTGTTAAGAATCTTTTTAGATAGTAGATTCATATTATAAAATAACATGAGTTATAAATTTCTCAGATAATTAGACAGATTCTAATTCTCAAATACCACGAAAATGTTATTTTATAATGTTTGCATGGTTGTTTGTTTGGTAAAATATAATGGTGATATAGTTAAATGGCTACATATCAATAATATCAACATTACATTTTATCTTATTGATATAATAGTGTCTACATAGTATATCAATGTGCTATATTTAAATAAAGAAATTTATCAAGTGTTACAAAAATTTAAAAAATTTCTTTAATTAGTATATTCAAAATCAAATTTTAATTGACTTTGTAAATCTTTATCAAGCAAAATGAAATTAATCCTTTTTTCACACCACATATATAGTCTCCAGCTCATAATAATTAATATAAATGAAGGAATAAACTGTAACACTAGTATAATATAATAGATTAATAAGTATTAAGTTTTGATACAGCACAGTAGATTAAAGAAATTTTGATTACTATTGAATATAATTTTTAGCAGATAACCTACAGGCTTATGTAATGAAGCAAGTTTTATGATGATTTTAAACTGTAATTATGAACTCATCAAACAGCTTTCTCTTTGTCTAAAGTCATTAAGTAATCATTAGAAAACATGAAAAATCCTTGCAATGGCAAAATCTTTGAAAAATTTCAATGGCAGATGAATATATATTCATATTCATCTGCTATTGCAATTTTTCCCAAAACCACAAAATACACTAATATGTTTACCTTGCCTTTAGTTCTCTTACATTAATTTTTTTTACATCCAGTCCATGCTATAATTGATATTATTAGACACTTTTGCTTGAATTTTTATCTTGAAAGCTGGTAACTATTCTCCATCTATATAATGAAGTAATTTCAGAGAACTTTAGAAGGTAACATTTCAGCTGTGTTAACTACATACCAATATTGTGTCTTTAACAGCTGTTGGAAAGGCATTGGGTATACAATGAGAAGGGTCATTTCTGTTCTGGCAATTTTCTACAGGGTATCTCACAAAATTATATCTTTTTTAATTTTTAATTTGTATTGATATTCTTTATACAGTTCATCAGTTCAATAATAATATCATTAATTTTAATTCAAATTTATGAAAATTTATTTATAGTTATATGATATTGAACCAAGAATCCAATCCCCATATAGATATAATATTACAAAACAGATTGTTTATACATCAAATATAAAGGTTGGTATTTTAATATGAATTTTTTATGATATAGAAACTGTAACACTCAAAAAGAACACATAATTATGATTGAAAACTAAATATCAATATTTAATTATATTAAATATGAAATGATAGTAAATATTGAACAACTGCATTTGACATACTTGAAAGCTATAGCACACAATATAACATGTTATTTTTTCCAATTACATTTGGTTGAGAAACTGTATTGCATTCCTTTCTGGGCATTGCTTTTTGAAAGAAAAATATATTTTTTAATAAAAAAAATTAATTTTAATACAAAATGCTAGCCTGTTCACAATCAAGAACATTTATTATATATTACAGATAGAGTATAAATTAATTTTTTAATTACATCTAGTAATTAAAAATTTAATTTATGGTAATATAAAACTACAGAATATTTGAAGTGTGCAATGCCATAATGTTGTAAATGCCATTTTTCTCTAAATACGTTTTATTGAAGAAATGAATTCTAAATGCAATGTTTTCTACTGAAAAAAATTATTCTGGCGATAGTAGTACTGTAAGGGACTGTGTTTTGAAATTGGAGTTACATGCAAGCCATAACATTTCTTCAAGACTTGAAGAAATTCATTTCACTAGAAAAAGTATTTTTTCTCTCCTGAAAAATTTCTTTTTAGCATTTACAAAATTATGGCATTGCATGCTTCATTTGTTATGCAAATATAATGTATTAAAGAAATAAAAAGTACTGAAAATTCAAAATGTATGTGGTTTTCAAGAAAATTTTTAATATGTGTTTTAGAATTAATACTTAATTTAATATTAAAAATTTTGACTTGTGTTGCAGTTTCCATATCACATACAGTTCTAAGTTTATAAGAAAAATAAAAATCTGGATAATGCATTTTTAATAGGATGAAAAGAAAGAATTATACAATTTTGATATTTTATGCAATCATCATAATCGACCTTGTTGGGATGCAAATGCTTATTTAGCTGCTCAGCAAGAAAAAGATCATCAAGTAAGTAAATGTTTTTAGGTACTAGAGGTAATAAAAAGATTAAAAATCAATATTCTATTGAACGTTTACATCTATATTTTCTATAAATCTACTGAATATATAAGGTTTTATTAGTAATTTGGGTTAAATTTTTAATCATTTTTTTAAAATGAAGTTAGAATCTTTTTATAATCTGAGTAATATTTAGAAACCAATTGTAGTTCTTTCAATTGGTGATTTTGTATTAATGGATTAATGGTATGCACACTATATTCAAATGAAACTGTGATTCTAATTTATGAAACACTAACTATTCTTTTTATTTTATATTTTGAAAATAATTTTATAATTTGTAATTGAAGAAAATATTGATAAGAATTTATTTTGGTAAAGTAATAATTTTATTAATGCCAAAGCCAAGTATTAAATTTTTTGTTTCTTATTATTATTATTCTTAAACTGTTATTAAGGAATTTTAATATTGATTTATTTATTAAATTAATATTAATATAAATTACACCTAATTTTATGGAGCTATTATTTTCTTTTGAAAAAAAAAAGATAAAGAGGTATTTAAAAAAATATTAGTCAGGATTATGAATTTTGATGCTCAGTTAAAACAAAAAACAGAAGTTTAATATGAAAATTCCTAATTTCAGATTTATAGTTGAAAGTAATGTATTTAATAAATTAAAAATTAATAAATTATTGATGTATATTTATGCATTTATAAATGATACAACTAATAGAATTGAAATTGAATAATTTGCATATAGAATTACTTAATTTTAAAAATGGAAATATTAATTATAATTTCTTTACAGATAGAAAAAATTCTATATAAATTTCTTAAAGAAATAAAAAACATCAAACAGATGGAATTTTCTCCCAAAAAATATTTTTGCCATACAAATATTAATTTAGTCAAAACAGAATACCAAAATGAATCTGAAAGTAATATTTGCAATCATCTAAATAACATTGAAGATAAAAATCTTATAAAAAATGAAGATTCAAACTTTTTAAAAGAACAAAATGAGAAAGTAGAAGAAATTGAAGAAGCAATTATATTTATTTTAGAATCTTCATTTCTTCCATTTTTAGAGGTTGGTTTGTTTGAATAATTTATTATATTTTATTCATATCTAGTTTGATCTGTTAGTTATAAAAATAATTATGAAATAATGTTTTTTTTAATATGCTTGTGACATATTAAGTTAATAAAACATGGTATTGTGTTATATTTTGTTATTAATATGTTTATTGTCATAATTTATTTGTACAATATTATAAGTAATGTTACATTAAAATGTACAAAATTGTTAACTGTTGAAATGACACTATTTTAAAATTTATTTACAAAATATCAATATATTAATTTATTTGTGGAATTTTTTAATTTTTTACATTTCAGAACACATTTTTTCCATAACATTATATTGTTTTATTTTTCATTGATAATTCACAACATAATAATTATTTTTCTGCATTTTTTTTAAAATAAATGATTACTTTCAAAATTATCATTTCTTCTAAATAAATCATAATTTTTTCTCAAATTTTAACTATTTTATTAATTACAGACATTTTGTTTATTTTTAAATTTTGGAAATTCCTGTTCAGAAATTTGCTTTGTAGAATGCATTTGATTTGAATTGTATTTTTCCTTATTTAAGAATATCATTTATTCAGTCACTACACTGAATGACTAATACAAAAGTTTACAAAACACCATATTCTTTCTCTATATTCATTTCTAAACTCCAGTTATATTAGCAACAAAAGTTTAAATATGTTGCAATCTTCTGTAAATATTGTATGATATTTTAAATAAATTTAAAAAAATTTTTTTCATTTTTTGACATTTGCACATATATAATTATTAAACATAATTTATCTAATATATTAATATATGCTTATTAGACATTTTAGACAATATGATTTATAGATAATATATAAAATAATCTCAGTAAAATTTTAAATACACAAGTACTGTACAATAGATTAATTTTTAAATTAATTTACATCATATGTATAATTATTTTAAACTGATTTCAGTAATAAATTTTATTTAATTATAAATAATATTGTTTACTATTTTAAATTATAATTACTATTTGTACTAAATAATTTTATGTAATTTGCAGAAATGCCTTGATATAGATAACTTTTTAAATATTTCAATGCAAGTCTCAGTAAGTTTATGATTTTTATATTATTAAAACATAGTATATAAATAAAACAGTTATATTTAAAGTTATTTTTAAATATAAAAGAATTAATTAATTCTTTACATTAAAAGTTAAAAATATTTGAATAATTATAAACATCTTTTATTAACATGTATGAGATGGTTGTATTGCAGACTGTGATAAACCATATTTACCACCATAAATGTTTTTAAAAACAGCATTTTGAAGTTTGAAAAATTAACTTTAATTTTTTTGTGTCAATGGGAAGGGATTAAGGATTAAGCCTATGTGGATCTGCCCCTGGTCTGAAATCGAGTTTGAAACAAAAAATTTCTGAGCAAAGCATAAGCAAAGCTCTGCATAAGTCAGTATACAAATAGTTTTATAAATTATACACTTACTCTTAATCTTCAGTAGAATTAATCAGTGTTTAAATTATTATTATTTACAATTTATCACTTTTAAGTTAACATTTTTCAAATAAGTATAGATAAATTATGTATTTTTGTTTTATCATTTAAAACTTTAATTTAAGAAATAATTTATTTTTAATTTGTGTTTTAAATTAAATTATCTAGGTTAATTTATTTAGGAGAAAATTAAAAAACTTCTTAAGGTTTTTATTGTAAATTATTATAAATACAGTCGAGTCCGCATAAGTCATCATAGGTATAACTAGACACTGTGGGTTAAGTAGTCAGTTTTTTTGGTNGGAATTTTCTCCCAAAAAATATTTTTGCCATACAAATATTAATTTAGTCAAAACAGAATACCAAAATGAATCTGAAAGTAATATTTGCAATCATCTAAATAACATTGAAGATAAAAATCTTATAAAAAATGAAGATTCAAACTTTTTAAAAGAACAAAATGAGAAAGTAGAAGAAATTGAAGAAGCAATTATATTTATTTTAGAATCTTCATTTCTTCCATTTTTAGAGGTTGGTTTGTTTGAATAATTTTCTCCCAAAAAATATTTTTGCCATACAAATATTAATTTAGTCAAAACAGAATACCAAAATGAATCTGAAAGTAATATTTGCAATCATCTAAATAACATTGAAGATAAAAATCTTATAAAAAATGAAGATTCAAACTTTTTAAAAGAACAAAATGAGAAAGTAGAAGAAATTGAAGAAGCAATTATATTTATTTTAGAATCTTCATTTCTTCCATTTTTAGAGGTTGGTTTGTTTGAATAATTTATTATATTTTATTCATATCTAGTTTGATCTGTTAGTTATAAAAATAATTATGAAATAATGTTTTTTTTAATATGCTTGTGACATATTAAGTTAATAAAACATGGTATTGTGTTATATTTTGTTATTAATATGTTTATTGTCATAATTTATTTGTACAATATTATAAGTAATGTTACATTAAAATGTACAAAATTGTTAACTGTTGAAATGACACTATTTTAAAATTTATTTACAAAATATCAATATATTAATTTATTTGTGGAATTTTTTAATTTTTTACATTTCAGAACACATTTTTTCCATAACATTATATTGTTTTATTTTTCATTGATAATTCACAACATAATAATTATTTTTCTGCATTTTTTTTAAAATAAATGATTACTTTCAAAATTATCATTTCTTCTAAATAAATCATAATTTTTTCTCAAATTTTAACTATTTTATTAATTACAGACATTTTGTTTATTTTTAAATTTTGGAAATTCCTGTTCAGAAATTTGCTTTGTAGAATGCATTTGATTTGAATTGTATTTTTCCTTATTTAAGAATATCATTTATTCAGTCACTACACTGAATGACTAATACAAAAGTTTACAAAACACCATATTCTTTCTCTATATTCATTTCTAAACTCCAGTTATATTAGCAACAAAAGTTTAAATATGTTGCAATCTTCTGTAAATATTGTATGATATTTTAAATAAATTTAAAAAAATTTTTTTCATTTTTTGACATTTGCACATATATAATTATTAAACATAATTTATCTAATATATTAATATATGCTTATTAGACATTTTAGACAATATGATTTATAGATAATATATAAAATAATCTCAGTAAAATTTTAAATACACAAGTACTGTACAATAGATTAATTTTTAAATTAATTTACATCATATGTATAATTATTTTAAACTGATTTCAGTAATAAATTTTATTTAATTATAAATAATATTGTTTACTATTTTAAATTATAATTACTATTTGTACTAAATAATTTTATGTAATTTGCAGAAATGCCTTGATATAGATAACTTTTTAAATATTTCAATGCAAGTCTCAGTAAGTTTATGATTTTTATATTATTAAAACATAGTATATAAATAAAACAGTTATATTTAAAGTTATTTTTAAATATAAAAGAATTAATTAATTCTTTACATTAAAAGTTAAAAATATTTGAATAATTATAAACATCTTTTATTAACATGTATGAGATGGTTGTATTGCAGACTGTGATAAACCATATTTACCACCATAAATGTTTTTAAAAACAGCATTTTGAAGTTTGAAAAATTAACTTTAATTTTTTTGTGTCAATGGGAAGGGATTAAGGATTAAGCCTATGTGGATCTGCCCCTGGTCTGAAATCGAGTTTGAAACAAAAAATTTCTGAGCAAAGCATAAGCAAAGCTCTGCATAAGTCAGTATACAAATAGTTTTATAAATTATACACTTACTCTTAATCTTCAGTAGAATTAATCAGTGTTTAAATTATTATTATTTACAATTTATCACTTTTAAGTTAACATTTTTCAAATAAGTATAGATAAATTATGTATTTTTGTTTTATCATTTAAAACTTTAATTTAAGAAATAATTTATTTTTAATTTGTGTTTTAAATTAAATTATCTAGGTTAATTTATTTAGGAGAAAATTAAAAAACTTCTTAAGGTTTTTATTGTAAATTATTATAAATACAGTCGAGTCCGCATAAGTCATCATAGGTATAACTAGACACTGTGGGTTAAGTAGTCAGTTTTTTTGGTCCTGGCTGACTTACATAGGCATTAATATTAAAAACTCCAATTTACTCGACACCATGTAACTCATTACCACTAGATAAATCGACATAGTTTTGCTATCCCACACTCGTTTAGACGTTTGATAAGTCAGTCCCCTCCTGAGAAAAATGAAACTGGTATGAACTCATTTTTTTCAGGAGGGGAGTTGACTTATTTATTAATATATACATATTAATAAAAATGCCTTAACATTTTATGTATTTTTATATATAAAATAATAACAGATAAACAAAAAGAAAATATACAATCTATATCAACATCACAGCAGAATCTGATTTTGCATTTTCTCACATCATGAGTTATTTGTAACACATTTTTGTTAGAAATGAGTTTCCAAAAGCTAACAATACTTATGCTGAAGAAAAAATATGAACTCATGTCTGNTTTCATTTTTTGACATTTGCACATATATAATTATTAAACATAATTTATCTAATATATTAATATATGCTTATTAGACATTTTAGACAATATGATTTATAGATAATATATAAAATAATCTCAGTAAAATTTTAAATACACAAGTACTGTACAATAGATTAATTTTTAAATTAATTTACATCATATGTATAATTATTTTAAACTGATTTCAGTAATAAATTTTATTTAATTATAAATAATATTGTTTACTATTTTAAATTATAATTACTATTTGTACTAAATAATTTTATGTAATTTGCAGAAATGCCTTGATATAGATAACTTTTTAAATATTTCAATGCAAGTCTCAGTAAGTTTATGATTTTTATATTATTAAAACATAGTATATAAATAAAACAGTTATATTTAAAGTTATTTTTAAATATAAAAGAATTAATTAATTCTTTACATTAAAAGTTAAAAATATTTGAATAATTATAAACATCTTTTATTAACATGTATGAGATGGTTGTATTGCAGACTGTGATAAACCATATTTACCACCATAAATGTTTTTAAAAACAGCATTTTGAAGTTTGAAAAATTAACTTTAATTTTTTTGTGTCAATGGGAAGGGATTAAGGATTAAGCCTATGTGGATCTGCCCCTGGTCTGAAATCGAGTTTGAAACAAAAAATTTCTGAGCAAAGCATAAGCAAAGCTCTGCATAAGTCAGTATACAAATAGTTTTATAAATTATACACTTACTCTTAATCTTCAGTAGAATTAATCAGTGTTTAAATTATTATTATTTACAATTTATCACTTTTAAGTTAACATTTTTCAAATAAGTATAGATAAATTATGTATTTTTGTTTTATCATTTAAAACTTTAATTTAAGAAATAATTTATTTTTAATTTGTGTTTTAAATTAAATTATCTAGGTTAATTTATTTAGGAGAAAATTAAAAAACTTCTTAAGGTTTTTATTGTAAATTATTATAAATACAGTCGAGTCCGCATAAGTCATCATAGGTATAACTAGACACTGTGGGTTAAGTAGTCAGTTTTTTTGGTCCTGGCTGACTTACATAGGCATTAATATTAAAAACTCCAATTTACTCGACACCATGTAACTCATTACCACTAGATAAATCGACATAGTTTTGCTATCCCACACTCGTTTAGACGTTTGATAAGTCAGTCCCCTCCTGAGAAAAATGAAACTGGTATGAACTCATTTTTTTCAGGAGGGGAGTTGACTTATTTATTAATATATACATATTAATAAAAATGCCTTAACATTTTATGTATTTTTATATATAAAATAATAACAGATAAACAAAAAGAAAATATACAATCTATATCAATGTCACAGGAGAATCCGTTTTGCATTTTTTTACATCATGTTTATTAGTAGCAAGCTGATAACGCTTACACTGAAGGAAAAATACAAACTTGTATTTGAATTTGAAAAGAATCTGTCTGAATGTGTCTGAATTTGTAAGAAAACTTTGCAAGCTGAATTTGCAAAACAAAAAAACTTTCAACAACAACATTGGTGGGAATCCTGAAGAAAAAAGAGGAAATTAAGAAACTTTTTCTTGGATCTTCGTCATAGCTGTCTGGAAAATGCCAGAGAAAGTCGCTGTACAAAGATGTCTAAGATGCTCTGGTATGTTGGCTAAAGCAAATTGCTTCATTGAATCTTCCTGTTTTGGGACTGATACTGAAACAAATGGCAATGGAAATCGCTGGGGTACTTGGAGTAGAAACCAACTTTAGTGCCAGTGATGGAAGGTCAGGGAGCAGTGGCATGCTGTCAGTGGAAGCGGTGGATGCGCCTTTTCCCTTGTATTTTCTAAAAAATAAATACTTATTAATTTTAATTATATGAAAATAATCGCACAATATTTTATTATAACTGCATTATGTATCTTATTACAAATTTCTATACTACACGTGGAAAAAAAGATAAGATTGCTATTGTATATTCAAATATTAGTGGCAGAGTGGAAGTGCTGTATTGTCACCATCCAAAAAGCCAGATTCGTGCATGCGCCTTACAGAGTACCAACATCACCTAGTTCAGCTTGTGGAAGCTTAGGACCTTGGGTGGATGCTACACGTATACCGCATCCAATTATATCCAGGACCAGTTCTGGGCTGTTAGCCGCCTGCCTGCTAGATATTTGGCTGCACTCACCCGATTACGTGAATCACGAGTAGATTTATAACTTAACCCAACTGATAAGAATTTACTGGTATGTTTTTATGATAGTTCTTTATAGTTGACAGGAGTTTANATATCCAGGACCAGTTCTGGGCTGTTAGCCGCCTGCCTGCTAGATATTTGGCTGCACTCACCCGATTACGTGAATCACGAGTAGATTTATAACTTAACCCAACTGATAAGAATTTACTGGTATGTTTTTATGATAGTTCTTTATAGTTGACAGGAGTTAAAAAAAATCCATTAAAATATTTTATATTTTTATTCTGCTCTCCGATTTTATATTACTCATGGATTTCAATGTTAAACCAATGAAACTACGATTTTGTATGTTTCATCTTTAAGGGGATGTAGAAAAAAACGAGTACAATTCTTGTATAACGTTAAAAAATTAACTGTTACTTTGGTAGCATCATTTACAACTAAATTTAATGAATGAGAGAGANTCTTTAAGGGGATGTAGAAAAAAACGAGTACAATTCTTGTATAACGTTAAAAAATTAACTGTTACTTTGGTAGCATCATTTACAACTAAATTTAATGAATGAGAGAGATGCACGAGGTACAGAAAAAGCTCTAGAATTTACATTCCTTACATTTACGATTTATGTATCTGTTGCCATAGAAATTTGTCTTTCCACTTTTTTCCCAAGACTACAAATATTCGAGTACAAAGTAACTGGTTTTGACTTATTTCTACTTAATGTAATAAAGACAGAAATTCTTCCAGTTCAATGAGAGTGACCGAAAAGTTGTAAATTTTGGAAATTTCTGAGGACACTTGGTCCTAAAACGAATTAGTTAGAAAACAAATGACTATTAAGTTTAACATATTTAGATTTTTACAGCTATGGTGAGAAATGTTTAAAATCTACAACATCCCTGTCGCGTCCTTTGAGGTATACTAGTGATGTGACAAAAGAGATATTTGACATTGACCGGTATCGGCACCCTGGGGATTTGGCAGTCCGCATGTATGCACGCTCTGCAACTATCTTCGATTCCATCCATTAGCCACTTGTAGGGAGCTATTTGACTAAGTGCATTGTTTTAAGATTTAAAAAGTAAAGAATATTATATATTTTTATGTACAGTATGTTTCTTTACAAAGCTATATTTAATTATAATTTTCTTTAAAAGTATATTCATACAATTGAAGAATATTTTGTACCAGGTATGTACCGGTACATCCACCACCACATTTTATTTCACCAAGTAAATTTTTATTATTTTATTTTTAATTGTAGCTCTTATATCGTGGCTAACGATTCGGAATGTAATTGTGATATTAACCCCTTCTCGTCCACTTTTTTAAAAAAATTTTTAATTAAACATAAAAAATACTTAAAACTGAAAAAAAC